AATAAATTAATTACCTGGACACTTCGGTATTATATGCGTTATGGAATGAAGGTAAGAAGTAATCACAGAGTTGGAGTGAAACCCCTGGAGGCTTAATGCTATTCCATCCTATATATTTCATTCACATTATGAGAATCGATAAAACAGCCCGCTATTTAGTAAAATTCTTCAACAATTAACAGTATTACTAATGTTTTATTTTATCTTCGTGGATAACTGCTCTGTCAGATTCAGTGAGATCGTGAAACTATAGGATGCCATTCAGATGAAACTCAGTCATTAATTAACACTTTTAAAATAAATTTTGCTTTATCATGAAAACTGTTTTAAGAATAATCTGATTTGTAAACCCCTGAATTCGTGGGCATAAAATAAACACCATCGGATGCCGGCTCAGTGGTCTATCGGTTAAGTGCTCTGGCGCGACACTGGTAGGTCCTGGGTTCGAATCTCGCGAGGTGAGTTCGTGGATGCGCACTGCTGAGGGGTCCCACAATAGGACGGGACGGCCGTCCCTGGTGGTCTGGCTTCAATTGACTCACGCTTTCAACTACGAAAATACTAAGTCTCCACAAAAAAAACTCTTCTGATAGTAATAATATTGTTTGGACAATGAATACAGGTAATTATAAATTTCCCTTTTCATTTATACTAGGATCAATATGTTACAGGAAACGTTTTATTGAGAAGTATATATGTAATAAAATTTAGTAAGACTTAAAAATCCTTGATCTTTCCACTAGTATTATTTTTTATAGAGAGAATCCATAAATCATTGTCAGAGTTTTATTTGGAAAAATATATATTACGATACGTCAGAAAATGTTTTTTATATACAGTGAAAATATACATAGAGTTGATATCCGGTTCTAGCTGTTTCAGTGCTTCATGGGAATCCAACTTTTAGATTTGTTGTTAATTAGAAGCATTATTAGATTCATACATATATCCAAGTAGCATAATTCACGATTTGATGATTAACTAATCGAGTTTCCAACTGTTTGAAAAATCTCCCAGGTATATAGCATCCAGGCTTCTCACGCGTATACATTTAACGTGGGTCAATATTTCATTTTATTAATAAATTCTGAATCTGACAATTCGGGGATTGTTTTCATCTTGTTGAATAAATTCCTTTTGGTTAAGTGGATAAGAGTAGACATCTGATATCTGATTGTTAGTTTAAATAATAAAATCTGTGTAATGTCATCCTGGTGAAGTTGTATTATCTTAACCAATTCTTCGATAGAATAGATAGGCTATGAACAGTACAGGTGTAGCGTAGTAAAATAAACGAGTAACTTCACCTTTGGAATTGAATCCAATCTGTAAGAAAAGAAAACAGCAAATCATTATTCAACAGCTTTAACTATCAAGCAGTTTATTACATTAGAAACATCAAAGAGCTAACGGAAAATAAATTTTTAAGAAGTATTTGAATTTAGTATTCAAACATTTGGGGAACAGAAGTTAAACCAAGTGTACGATCTAATGTTAAGGATGACTAAGCTTATCGTATTCTGGATGCAGTTAATTTTTTAAGACTTAGTTATAAGTGGAACTTTGATGAATACGTATATATCGTGTAAGGTTTTATTATTCAAGTCGTCATAAAATAATGAGTTAGATTATCCAAATTAAAACGAATATGATATAAAATAACTTCAGTGGAGTATATTATATAGATAATAAAAAACGGAGTCTTAAAGATGATCCTTTCTAAATTCATATCTGAAGTTGTAGATACGATTGATGAGTCACTGAATAATGACCAATGTTAGTGAACAAAGAGCTATAAATTACTCAGTTTTACTAATTAACCGCCCCCCCCTCTAGCTCAATAGCGACGTCTGACTGTTATTCTGGATAATCTGAGTTTGAATCTCACAGCGAGCATCAGTTCCTTGAAAATTACAGGTACAGCATGTTGACAAGTGTCAAACATCATGAAATTCAGTTTGATCGTCTCGTGTTGAATACCTCCAACTACCTAAGAGCTGAAGTGCCTGATAGATTTTAAAGGAATTCCAATACAAGATGGATATCATATTATGCACTAAATAACTATTTAAAGCACAATTTATCCCATTTTAATATTGGCTTTGCAATATAAACCACCCAACTACTCCCTAAAAATTTCAGATGTATTTTCTAGAAAATTTCTATATTTCTATCATCACTTAGTGATACAAGGTGGATGATTTTCAATTACTCTTTTGAAAACAAACATTACGATGTCATTGAAAGTTCATTTACACTACTTACAGATACCACCTAACTCAAACCGAGTCTATATTTATAAAAGTGTACTTCGATAGTACAAACGAATTTACATATATTCCGATGAGTATCTCTTATAAATAATCAGTTAACTTATAATCCATATCTTTTTGTAAATTTAAATCTAAAATTTGTAGATAAATGTAAATAACCTGATTCTTTTCAACTGACTTCATGTAGAATTATCAATTACGAATGACGTATTGTGGAAGTAATTAGAAAAACTTTGAAATTCAATAATCTGTTTATTGTTTATTCCTTCGTTTTGTTGATGTCTAAAAACTGGAAATAAGACGTTTGATATTAGTTTTTTTTTAAAAACATTCTACATTATTATTGCTTTTGTTCAATTATTTTTCTCCCCAAATTAAAGGAGTTTTTCTTTTTTCGGTCATATTAGGCGTGACTTAATACTACAAAGAAAACAGGGATCATTATCAAAATTAGCCCCCAAATGCCCTGGTACGGCCGAGAGTGGGGAGGGGCCACCCTCCCTCTCGAAATACTCTCACATGGCCACGCGTATATAACCTCTGACAGGGAAGTCCTACTCACTGCCTTCTTGTGGCATTACTGTTGTTTACGAAATTGAGAGGATGAAAAGCGAATGTCCGGCGCTTTAACCGGGTTGGTGAACACGGAAAGTCCACTTAGGGGAATAATAAAACCCTGACTCCAAACCAGTGCTGCACATGGGCTCCACGATCCTGAAGGAACAAATGGCGTACGAATCAATCGTTGGTCACCGGCTACCATGGGACTGCATCTCCTTACGATGCTCTAACGCCTTGTGGATCAGATCTTCAGGTCAAAGGCTCCGAGTGTGGCCCCCTAAGAAAACCACCTGCTTCAGTTTGGGCACCTGGGCAGTATCACAGCCCTCGCACAAATCTCATTCTATTTGTGTGGCGCATATATATCTGGTGCCCCTTTGTACCAATATTTATGTGTTTAAATAAATAAAATGATAGCTAACTTTAAGTCACTTAGTAAGGGCAGGATGGAGTTCTCAAAATAAAATTACTAAGTTCTTATTCATTCTCAAGGGTTATTTGACTATTTCGGATGGTGTTAAAAACTCTGAATGATTATTCTTGTTTAGCATACATGTATATTAGCAGGTACATAAAGTAGCAATGTTTTAATTTTAGAAAAATCAGATTTAATTATTACCGAATAATAATTACCGAATCGTCACCGATAAGCAAAAAATTCTAATCATCAGATCAACTGTTACTGAATCCCAAAGATTATAACTGATTAATTCACTGAACACTAGTTAAATCAAAAATTTACATGATCTTCAAAAGCATTTGAACACGAAGAATAATTTACCCCTCGAAATTATTTTCCTTATATTTTCAAATAGATTTACAAACAAGAATATAATGAATTGTAAGTAAAGTTTTTTATTAGGTATTGACATAGTCTAGACTATTCTCAGATGTTTTGATGAATAAAAATTAAAGTTTAAGTATCAGCAGGGTGCATTGTTTTATCACATAGACATAGAGAATAATTTTTCAGGGGGCAATCAAATCAGCTATGAGATAATTCCAACTTGACTTTAAGTGTGTATTTTACTATTACTAGCTACAAAATATTGACATTGTATTAAAATTTTATTTTATAGTAAGATTTTATTTCTGGATAAGATTTTCATTCTCATATGTAGAAGTTAAGGGATTATGCAAAGCCCAGTAACATGCTGAGTAAAAATATAAACTCATATATAGTTTATTCAATTAGCTTACTGAATTCTCAAATGTCTGCGTAATGGTAGAAACTATGTTCTGACAGCCTACTGTTAGCTAACATGTTAATTACATATATTCTTAAATAAAAAATCAACCAGAAATTAAGATTTTTTACTCAGACATAAGATTTCTGACAAACCAATTGCATGAATTAAAAATTGGTTCCATCCAATAATCTAATAAACAATTTCTATTATTTGTTGTGCCTTGTTGCTATTCTGTCCACCTTACAATTCATGTAACAATATTACACTCTTAATGTTTAATTTTAAGTTGGATTCATGAGTCAATCTAAACTAGACCATCATTAAAAATCTGAAAGCACTGGATGGCCATTTCGTTCTAGTATAGGACCTCTCAGAAGTGTGTATCCACGATCCCGAACACGGGACTCAAACCCAGAACCTTCGGCCTCCAACGCGAACACTTATCCTCTAGGCCACCTAACAGACACCGGGTGGAAACAGTTATTCACCTCACATAATGGATGAAGGGTTGAGCAAGACCATGGATCGACTGAAGTCAGACATTAACACCGTTGGAGGCTAAGTGTTCGCATGCGAGGCCGAAGGTCCTGGGTTCGAGTTCCGTGTTCGGAACCATGGATGCAAACTGTTGAGAGGTCTAAAACCAGAACGAAATGGCCGTTCAGTGCTTTCAGATTTTCAATGGTGGTCTAGCTTAGATCGACTGATGAATTAAACTATTTTAACGTTTAATTATAAATTGCAGAAGAAAGCTAACGATAATGTAAGTACAAATAATACTTTTTCAAACAATGTCTAAGTATGCTAACACAATTGAAATTTCACTTATTCTATTTCATGTTTCATGAATATGGTTTTATTAATCGGATGACTGATAGAAAGTAGAGTTGATAAAACCAAACGAAATAAGTGTACAACTGGTTATTTATCATCCTAAATTATGAAATATCCCTATTATGGGACTCCATGGTGATGTAGCTTCAATTGACTCACGCTTTCATCTATGAAAATACTAAATTTCCACAAAACTTCTGATATGAAATATCCATTGTTTACAGTTGTACGAAGAAAAAGGGTGAGTAAATGAAAACATTTTCAAAATTAATTATTGTTGTACGTAATCACTATTTGTCACAAAATAACAGAATCACAGAAGTATTAAACAGTTGTTTCGCACTAGTTTGTGAATCCTCAGTAGTCTAAATCTATTAGCTCACTTTGGATTGAATCTTTAAGTTCATATTTTCTCCTTAAGCATGATATCCCTCAGACAACTGAGTCAGAATTTGGTAGTCAATGCTTCGAGTTTTAGTTAATTCGGCAACATTGCGCAACGATCATTTAGTAGCATTACTGTCTGAACTCTGTAATTTGCGGCTTTACAAATACATTCCTTGACTTAATTTAGAACCTATTGACTAGGAAATACAAAATAATTATAAAGACAAAGGGTTTGTGAAGACAGGTCGTCATTGAAACTAGTTTTATTCATAGTGTTATACCTGCTGAAGAACCACTGAAAACCTAAGAGTACTAGTTTACAATCATTCGATCTTCACAATCCAGCTTTATATAGCGATATTATGTGACAAAATATACTTTAAAAACGGGCCACTTGGATGCATGAATCATCAAACCGCAATACATACAGCTCAGGAAAAATTAGATATTTTTTAAACAGGGCAGCTAACCTGATGAATTTAGTTCAAAAGACATGTTTTGGAAATATTTGTATCTAGCACAGTTAAGTGAAATGAAAATATCGATAATTGACCGTACAATTTGTACCAAGGTAAATTAAACGTACATTCTAGGCAAAATGGATTGTGATAGATAGATTTATTATTAAAATCAAAAGTGAGCAATGTAAAGAAACAATGAAAAATTTTGATAACTATTGGGTAATCGATGCTTAAACTGTGATTTATTCAGCTAAACGTTCTACTTTTATTCAGTGGGTCATATTTTCAATCAGTATATAGTCAAAACATTAAATAAACTCCCATAATAAGATGAATAGACATTAACAGTTTGAACCCCATCAACTTACTTTACAACTCACATAATCAGGTTTAAATGTCCCAGTTGAATTTGAATTTGAAAATGTTTTCATCATGGCCAATTCGTTTGAATAGGATAGACTATCAAGAGTATACGAAAATCTTCCATTAATTTCATCTCCTATATCAGCCAATTCCCTTGCCAAGGCATTAACCAAGCTCCATTTGCGCTCAAGCTTGTATGATGCGGAACTTGTACTAATCTTGTGTTCCATTCTCTGTCAATTACAAGAAAGTAGTTTGGATAAAACTTACCCATGCAAAATTACTTCAAAAATAAAATATTACAAGTTACGAAAAGAAAGAAAATTAAGTATACTGTTCAAATGTGTTTGTCCAGAGGGTGAGGAAGGTTTTACCGGAATATGCTTTTTTTTCTAAAAACAACCAAAAATAAGCAAAAAGTTCTTGTGAAGTGGTCTTATGGATTTAACATACCTATCAGCATAGTTTAAACATGAGTGCTGCGAAATATGTATGGATACAGAGTTAAGTAAATGAGTTTCATACAGCCCTAGCGTTTTACGTTTGATCCATCAATAGAATGATTAGGACAAAGCGTTAGTAATATGAGATTAACAGATAGTTAACTGAGAGATAAAAGTTAGCTTTATTCAAAATATTTAAGTAAAACACATTATATATAGTTGGAATCATGAGTCCATTGAAGCTAGACCAATGTGGAAAACCTGGAAGCACTGGATGGCCGTTTCGTCTTATTGTCGGACTCCTCAGCAGTGCGCATTCACGATCCCGCCTCGTCAGATTCGAACCCAGGACCTACCAGTCTCGCGCCAGAGCACATGACCGATAGACCACTGAGTCATCATCCGACGGTGTTAATGTTTAACTTCAACCAATCCATAGATTAGAAAAATTTATGACGCCAGTGGTTTTACTAGATCTAGTTCGTCAGAAGAAGAATTGAGTGCAATGTAATCGCCAGCTTGTCAATCTTTAATGAGTGTGATATACAATATTTGGAGTAATATTTTAAGAATTCACTTCTTGGTTGGTAGAAGTAGACTTCATCAAAAACAACCACCACCTAATTGTAGAAGAGACGATGTTAGTCAAGAAATTTTGTTGTTGCTAATAGCGTTCGAAACTTCACAGATTCAATAACTTATATGTCGGTATCCTGGTTTATCTTATATAAAAACGACTATCATTTATAATAAGCAATTAAAATATTTTGTACTAAAAAAGCATAAAATCAATAATTGTGTTATACTTTAATTTACAAAGTCTCATGATGCTCCATAATCATAGCTGGAAGCGATGAATGCAAAAATATAGTAGTCCACTGTCCTAGTCTTTATACATTTTTATTAATCCATCTCTAAATTATTCCAGTTGTCAATTGTATGTTATTAAGCCAAAGTTTACATCACAAGATCCAAACTTATTAAATTCCAAGTATTTATTTATATGTTCAACCACTAATATTCATTTTAAAGTGACTAAATGAACAAATGACCAGTAGATTGAATTTTCCCTTCACTTAAACTCCCTTCAGCAATACGATCTTATATGATCGGGGATGAGAATTTTTCAGGCTTTCTATTGATTAGTCAAACAATAACTCCATTCTATTGGCCAAAAATGATCCAAGGTCAAGTGATACAGGCTATGACCGTGTATACGGATCAAAAGTCAAATAAGGTCAATTTTCAACCTAACCTATTAATGGGATACTATTATCCAGAATGAACAGTCTTATAAATGGAAAAAATTGTCGATGTCTAATTGATAAAAAATGACAATAAAAATGACAAAATGTTTGGTCAGTTAAATCATTAGGGCTTATTAAATGACTGAATAACTAATCGATTTACCCACTCAATTTGAATAATTAATGTATATATATAAATGATCTGCTCATATAATTTTTAATAATTAATCAATAAACTGATATGTTGTCATAGTATCAGTCTAGTTTAATACAAACAAAAATGTCAGCAAAATAGTTAATAACCTTGAGTTTATAAAAATCGATTGAAATAATTAAGTAAACATAAGAAATTAAACAAAAATTATTCCTTGGATTATTTGTATTCCCAAAACTCGATGTAATAGTTGAATTCATGAGTCAATTGAGGCTAGACCACCACAGAAAATCTGAAAGCACTGGACAGCCGTTTCGTCCTAGTATGGGAATCCTCAGTGGTGCGAAAATACGATCCGCCTCGCGGGATTCAAACCCAGAACCTAACAGTCTCGCGCGCGAGCGCCAAACGTCTAGACCACTGAGCCCTCATCCGACGGTGTTAATGTCTAACTTCAACCAATCCACGAAATTGCGTCACCGTCCACCATTGTCTTCAATGACCTACTACCTCAATTTCGTTTATTTGTTGAAGTTAGACATTAATACCATTAGATACCAGGCTGCTAAGCGGTCTAGAGGTTAAGTGATTTCACGCGTGACCGATAGGTCTTGGGTTCGAACTTTGTGAGTCAGGATCGTGCGTTCGCACTGCTGATGATTTCCATACTAGAAAGAAACGGCCGTCCAATGCTTCCAGGTTTTCCATGGTGGTCTAGTTTCAATCGACTCATGAATTCAACTACAAAATTACCAAAATCTCCACAAATCGCCTTCTAATAGTAATTCGATTACTTTGTGAATTTGAAGTAGCTGTAGAATCTTACAAAATATGGATCAATTTGTATTGCTCTCTCTTCAAAAGTGTGTTATCGAAGCTGATAATTTTTAGAATGTTGAGTTAAATTTGTTTGTAAGTTTGTATCGAAGATTTATCGATTTGAAGTAATGTATGTGGTAATTAGGTATATTTGTTTATCTAGCATCCTATTATTTAGTCTGATTTTCTTATATGAAATGTTTTCTTCTAACCATTTCATAGTGGTAGGTTTGATTGATTGGTAAACTCTATGGAATCTAATTTTGTCATTACTGTCGAAATTGTCTTTTTTGTAAAGAAACTTGTATTTTTGAATAATGATTAGGATTGGAATTCATCTTATTAAAGACTAGTCTAGAGGTTGTTCAAGCAGAAACTTATAACTATATCTACTACAAGGCATCCATTTGGGGATCCGGTACACCAAAGTTATTTATTAAATCCAAACCTCAATGAAAATGTTTACGAAAAATAATAATACTAAAGCTGTTTTATTAGAACCATACGAAATTAGTTTAACGTTATACATAACGTCATATCATTAGACATCTGGGATAGTTTTTGACGAAATGCATAAATGATACAAAGTTTAAAACTATTGATACTGTTATAAGGAAAGATGGATAGTGGCTAGCAGTGGAATCCAGGAGGCGCGTTTCGTCTTATTTGGGACTCGTCAGCTGGATGTACCTGCATCTCAGTGTTTATGTTCACTCTGGGACTCGAACCCATTACCTTTCGCTTCAAACGCCATCACGTTATCCACTCACCTACTGAGTCCTAATAACCACTTGCTTGTGCAATAGGGGGAAGTTTAAATCCACTTAGTATTGTTTGTTTGAATCTTCCCATTGATGCACAGCATGCACATATATGAATAAGAGACTGATTAATTGCAATCCTAAACATCAATGGGAAGATTCAACCAAACAATACCGAGTGAATTTATGAATTCCACTGTTTAAATAATTAAGCAAACTATATCTACATCCTAGGAACAGTGATCGCTTTTAGATCGATGAACAATGTAGTACTTACTGAGGTGTTGATGTGTAAATGTGAGATATTGTTTAGTTAAAAGATTATTATTAATTACAAACAGCTTAGTAATTATTTATTTTCAATATAAAACTTTATTTCTACTCTGAATGTTATAAGGGCTAGGATTTCACTCAGAAATAAAAGTTTAAGTTATCACTTATATTAATACATATTTTAATAAAACTGCACGACTTACATGGTTTTAGCGGAATTCACCTACAATGTATTCTGAAAACTAAACTGGTGTCTTATAAATAAAATAACTTGTTGGCCTCCTTTTATTAAGATGCTTCTGTCTATAACAAAATGAATGAGCATATATAAACTAATAGTGTGTTAGTTTCAATCAACAAATAAGGTTAGAAGGTGGTGAACAACAAAATGATTATCATAACCGATTGATTGATGATAACAGTCATTAAGTGATGTATGAAATTTGTAAATAAGGGTGAAAAGATTTCGGAACATAATTATTATTTTAACTTATACGTGGCAGTAAACTAGATGACAAATTTTCATTAAAAAATAAATGAGTTAGGATAGACTTATTACAAATCTAGTCAGCAAATGTTCTGATTGGTTGGCAATAAACTTGCGATTTCTACACAATTGGGTTAGAAGGTCAATAAAATTTGCGGCTTCTGTTAAAATTGTGATTTTCAGTAAGGGGGTGATATAAATGAGATAGAAGAGGATTTAACTATCTGAGTCCTTTATTATGAAATATTGTTATATGTCTAATTCTGTTTACTATGTGTACCCTTCTTTCTTCCCCATCTGTAAAGTCTCATAATAATAATTTGGTGCATCCATTCAAAAAGTAGAATTGTCCATTTAACACAAGGTTATCATGATTTTACTTCCAAGGGGCATTTTCCTTTCTTTAGAAAGAACACACACTATAGAAATTTTAAAAAAAGTAAACAAACTTTATAGTACCTTAACCATTTATTCAGTTCATAATTTTTGGATTTCTTGTTATCGAAGGTAAATTACTGCAACAATACAATTTGCATAAATCTCAACTCACACAAAAATTTTCCCTGGGCTTAGTTAAGATATGTACAGGTTTTGATAATGTATTTATCCGAATATTGTCAAAATGTATTCAGTATTTATGCAGAACTATGTAATTGCATTGAATTATGCAAATGGATTAGTTAACAATAATATTTTATATTACAATTTAATTTTAGAAGTGTTGACTTTCTCAAGCTAGATGGTTTAAGTGAGAAGCTTTAATTGCTATCCTGACTATCATCTTCAGTCTATTTCATTTGAAAGTGAGCAGTCCAGTTATTTCACGAGTGTTATATTTGTTTATTCCGATGAACACGTTAACTAGTAATATAGGGATTTGAGTATGCTACAGTAGGATTGTGATGAACATAATAGATTGTGAAAATAGAGAGAATGTCCTGCTTTAGTAAGATCAAATCATCCTAAACATAGATATCGAATTCAAGCTAACCATGATGAGCAATTTGTTTCACATACCCATACTATCAGTGCTCCCTCAATAGGTGACTTTTATTTGGTGGGAATTACTTTTAACTTTCTGAAACCCGAAATTTTCACTATTAACCAAGGTATATCTAGCAGATTTTGTTTGAATCTTATTCTAATCCTACTAACGAAATATAAATCTTAGTTATAACATTTTAGATCTTTATTTTCACAGTCAGTTACAATTTAATGTTGGCTTCTTCAAACCATTTGACATGTACAAAGTCATTTCCACTTTAATTGTATCCAGAACTTTTATTCATATGTATTTAATTCTTTCTAAATCCAGTTTATTTCAAATCGAATGTTACTCTAAACTTATATCATTGTGATTTGTATGGACAGAAATGAACTGTGAATTTTGTCTAATAATTAGAAAATATCACACATTCTTTGAAAATTGTTCACAATGAAACTATATACTTTAGTCTATGATGAAGTGAATTAAAGTATGATACTGAGCAATAGAGCATATTAGTTTAATTTCACATAATATAGGAAATTGAAGATTTGATTTGAAAATGAACAATGTAAATAAATATAGTTTCCCTCTTCAAAAATTGTTTTGTATAGTAGAAACCATGAGTCAATTGAAACTAGACCACCAAGGAAAACCTGGAAGCACTGGACGACCGTTTCGTCCTAGTATGGGACTCCTCAGCAGTGCGCATCCACAATTCCGCCTCACGAGATTCGAACTCAGCACCTATCAGTCTCGCCCAAGAGTGCTTAATCTCTAGACCACTGAGCAGGCCGACATCCAACAGTGTTAATGTTTAACTTCAACCAAGTCACGAAATTGAGCAACCATGCTGAGGAGTCCTACAATAGGACGAAACGGCCGTCTAGTGATTCTAGGTTTTCCATAGTGGTCTAGCTTCAATTGACTCATGATTTCGACCATATAAAATTACTAAAATCTCCACAAAACCCCCTTCCTATATAGTATTTATTCTAAGCCTATTTTCGCATGAACACATTCATTGTTTTGTCAGTTTCAAGTCTTTGTATTGTTTTGACTACTCAGTCTGATAAGAATGACATTTATTTGATATTTATTTGTAATTTTCCGCCTCTTTCCGTTTGTACTTTTACCTCTTATGCTTGGTGACGTAATCTATTTCATTGTGATTATTGACTCAAATTGTCTTGATTAGTTTAACATTTATTTGATATTCCATTTATTCTTACCTTTTTAAATAATCATTTTTGTAATGTATCACTTATACATAATCTTTTAACTCAGAATTACAACATTATAATCTCCCTAAAGTAATCATTATTTTCTTTAATTATCCTATATGAAAAGAAGATCTATATAAATAATTTGATAATATAGTGAAAAGTCCCATTTTCATATTTGATAAATGAAAAAGGGACTAATCGAGCGAATAAATTTCTTTTCAATTAGTTTGTCATCATGGCTTTACACTAAACTAACATTAATTAATTGGAAGAAAAAGGATGAATACTAATCAGTGTAATTATTCGAAAATCAAGCTGTTGCTACGTTGCCTAATATATAAAAGAGAAGAAAGAACTAACAAGATATTTTGATGAATGGTCAGTAATATAGTAGTTATATAAGAATCAAGAGAAGAAT